GATGCTCTGAACAGCAACTCAGAATGGACCAGTAGTCCCAAGGCAAACAACTTCAAAATGGGAAACCAGGGCCCAGCAATCAAGTCAAGCCGGCACTGCCACAGGTGCAAAATAATGCTTCCTTTTATCAAATAAGCCGGGAGCACCTGTGCCTAAGAGTTACTCTTTCTGGTTCAGAGCAGCGGTCCTCAGAGTGTAGTCCTAGACCTGGCCAGGCAGCTGTGCTGTGCGACCCCTCAGCGATGTGCACAGGGCCCAGCACCATGATCCAGAGATGGAGACTTGAGGAACCTCAGCCTGCCAGAGACCCCGCAGGGGTGTTAGCTGGGGAGACAGTCGGGATCCTTGCTCAGGCTGGGTGCCCAGTGCAGCCCCCGGGTGGTCATTGGAGAGATTCCCATGGGAAGGAGGAGCACCGTTGGAGGTGAGGACTTGAGACAGTCAGGGAGGAGCTGGCACTGGCACTTGGCAGCTGGGCTCAGAGGTGCTGCCTGGGGGCAAAGCTGTGTTTAGAACAAAGGTGCCTGCCAGGTGAGCCTACAACCAGAGCAGAGCAGTTCTCAGACTCCTGCCTGCAGGATCCTGCGCAGAACCCACTGATACAAATGCGGTACCGGTGGGCCCTGGCTGCAGAGGGCAGGGTCACATACATGCCCACATGAGGACACATATGCCTGTTCGCACGTATGTAGACCCATGTACACGCATGCACTCACACCCACCACTTGGTCACATGAACATGCATGCTCTCATACCAGTACACACACAGCTCATGCATGCATCCACATGCACACATGTGCGTATGCACATAACACTTACACTCAGGCTTACACATACCACATGCTCACACAAACATCCCCACATATGGGGATGTGTGTGCCCTCACACACATGCATGTACACTCATGCGCATGTACACACATGGAGCATGGCTGCTTTGATTCCCAGTAGTTTTTTTTTCCTTATTGTGGTAGATTATATTTATCAAAAGTGGTGACAAAAACCTTTCCAGTCTCACATGCTCCTCCAAACCTTCATCCTCATTGAGGCCATGTTGGGCCATGCACATGTGTGATGGCCTTGTGTTCCACTGTGTGGGCACATGTGTGAGTGTGGATGGTATGCATGTGTTCATGTGTGTGATAGCATGAGTATTCCCCATGTGGGCATGCATGCATGTGCATGAGTGAGTGGTCTATGTGCACGACTGCGCATGTACTGGGATCCGGTCAGTTCCATCAGTCCATCCACCCCAGCCCCTGAAGTACCTATTGCCCAGTTCTTGCTCCCACACCCCTCTAGCAGCCTTGCCAATGCCTGCTGCTGGCTCTACAAGCACCCACAGTCTTCCCATAAACACCTTTCAGCTTAAATCGGTCAGAATTGTTTCCCGTTACTTGAGAATATTGATAAATATCCACATTCCGTTCTGACGCCAAACAAAGGCTCTGCAGTTGTGCCTGACCCTCCCACAACTTCAGGGCTGACGGCTGAGCTGGTAAGAGACCACCTGAGCCCCATCAACAGCGATCCCAAGACCCTCTGACAAGGGTGCTGTCCCAGGCTGGACAAACACTCCACAGTGCCTCGTCCCAGCACCAACACCTGACCTCGATGGCGGTACCCAAACCTGACTTCCCAGGGGCAGTGAGCCAGGAGACAAGGCAGAGCTCAGACTTCACAACATGTCAGGCCCCTGGGTGCGCTTCATCCATGGCCCCTGGGGGTCTTCCCAAAAGTCGAGCCCTCAAGTGAGCTCAGAGGAATGCAGCCCGGGCTCACCCTGGCCCACAGTTGCTCACCTGGTCCTACTAAGGCAGAGACAGAGCACAAGGCAGGTTCGGCACCTGTACACCAGAGACACAATTGCTCAGCCAGTGTCGCAGACTGACTGGCTCCCAGTCACGCAGCTGCAAATAAATGCATTTCGGTCCTACCCTGGAGAACTACACTGCTTCGGGGAGAGGCTCTGCTCAGTGTTTACACACTTAAAGATCCTTAAATCAGGCATCTTTGGAGCTGCCAGGGACTTGGGGGGAACATGTGACCAGATGCGCCTCCTTCCCGATGTCCTTGCCTCAAACTGCACCAGTGGGCCACAGCTGTTTAAGCCAGGCTCATCTTCAGAAGGTGCCCTGTGATTTGATGACAAATCCTACCAATTTGTCAGTTCACCAAGTTTAAAAGCCAGTTGTTGGAGGGATTGCTGCCAAATGAGGAGGCTGCTTTCAACGCAAAATGTCAAGCACAATTCTGCCTAACTTCTCCCTATGCTCCTGGGCTCAGCCCTTCCTGTGAGCTGCTTCCTCCATCCTCATCAGCCCTAGGAAACAGATACTAGCACCGCCCTCTCTACAGAGGAAGCAAAAGTTAAACCCACTTGCCAAATACCTTGCTAATGCTCCAGCCACACTAGTCTCTCTTGAGACTGCAAACTCCAAGGTGAGGGCTTACTTGATTCCCAAGAGTTATCAAGGGCTTGACCTCTTCTCACCTTTCCCAACTGCCTCATGGGGTGGGGGGCTCCAGGTGGCAAGTAGAATGCACCAGCAAAATCCACACATCCCCGGTCCAGAAGAGAGGGGAAAAAAGGCTCCTTTTCTGGAATCCCCTAGCAAGCACCTTCTCCAGGCTCAGTGGTCCTAACTGGGCTTCCCACCATCCCCAGTAGGGCTCAGGGACCACCTTGCCAGTGGTGAGTCCCTTAGAGCCACGGGTATCTCACCCCTTCCTGTAATGCCCTCCCACGTGCTGAAGCTGTGTACAAGGTCACCCACCATTGCTGCTAAACTCATTAGTAGAGAGGGGCAGAGAGCCCTGGTAAGGACCAGTCCAGGCAGAGCACACACAACTTTTCCCAAGAATCTTTCTTGCTTGGGATCCTTTTTCTGCTGTTTTAATCGGTGCCCTAGCAAAACAGTGGCCAAGCACAGGAGGGGTGATGACAGGTGGCCCTTCAGAATGCATGTCACCCACCACTACGTAAGCAAGAACGAACTCAGCTACTCGCCAAGTTGGGCTCGTCCATGTTCTATGGACTGTCCGGGCCCCAGTTCAGAGGCAGCTGTTGCTTTCAAGTCCTGCCAGGAAATTCACCCTATTGCAGAATTCCAAGAGACAGGAGAGATCAATGGGAATCAGGAGGATTTAGGGTGAACACCAGTTTAACAGACTATTGTCCAAAGGAAGAGCATTTACTCAAAAAAAAAATCAGATTTTATACATTTGTTGGGGGGGTGGCTATAGTCTTTCTGATGACAGAGCAAGTGAGTTTACCAAAATAGGACAAAAGCAGTTTAGTAATTTAGCCTTGTAAGAAGTCAGTGTCTTACAAATTGCGTGAGGACACAGTGTCATTTGTTTATAGACCATAGTTGTCAATTATAAATTTACCTTTTGGGAGCATATAGCTCCTCAGGGGTTATAAAACGGAATATGGTTATTTAGTTTATCAGTACGGAGGTGCAGGGTCAACCTTAAAGGAAGGCAGATTCCTGAGTAACCAGGATGTTACAGGACACTGTTATAGCAAGCTTTTAAGTCCTGCTTCAACCTCTCTCCAAATCCAAGACTCGGAACTCAAAGGAAGCAGAAACCAGGGTTGCTTCCAAGAGAGTGGCTGCTTGGGAGGGCTCCTCCTGCTGGAATGAGAAGAGCACAGGCCTCTATGATCAAGCAGCTTTTACCGCTACTATTGGGCTGGCACATCTCAGATGCTGGAGACAAAACCCTAAAGGTACCTGCCCTCCTAGCCCTGCACTGGCGGGCCTACCGGAGTAGAGGTCACAAGTCCTGGGCACTGGGTAAAGTTCTCCCAACCTGCACTTCTAGGCTCGAAAAGCCTCTGTGATTACAGGCTGGCCGTTTGTCTCTCTACTTCTTCATCCATAAAATCAGGAATCGCTATCCGCGCCAGAGTTCTCAGGAATGAAGAGGGGATGGGACGCAGGAGGGAAAGGGGAGCAGCTCTACACCAGCCTGCCCGCCTGCAAGCAGGTCAGTTTCATGTCCACTCCTGGGATGCTGTACCGTGAACTCCCAGCACTGTCCAGGATGATTATACATACAGTAAATGCTTTCTGGTGACTACTGCTGCCAAGACGCCCAGCCCCGCCTCTAGTTCCGTGTCTTAACACAGGCTGTCGCCTCCCTGCCAGTAGGTAGCCTATAATGAACAGCCCCTCCCCCTGGCCCCCAAAACGTCCCATTACTGAGGGCTACGGCTGGCAGGTGGCTCGGGACTCCTGGACAGGGCATGTTAAACTCTTCCGCTCCTACCAGAACACGAAGTTGGAGGGTTTGCTCTAAATAGGCTTTTGTTTTGTTTTTCGTGTGCATTTTCCAGGTCTCGTCAGTGAATGGTTCTGTTTTGTGGAGCCTGCTGTTCTTAACACTCAGTGAAATGCAGCTTTGGTTCCAGATGTGCCCCGGCGCAACTGACAGCAGGAGGACCGTAACCGCCGAAGGGACCCCAGCCTATCTCTCCCAGGACTGCGCGGTCCTCCGCCCGGCGCCTTTGGGACGTCAGCTCCACGTGGTTTACGCCGTGAGGGTGAGCGGAAGGGGTATGGCTTGGTGGAGACCCCGGAAACTTCTGGGCGCGGAGGATACGGAGGATATAAAGGGCACAACTAGCGGGATCCCACACACCCCGCGGCCGAAGACACCAAGAGCCAGAACCACTCCCACTTCCGGGGGTGGGACTTGATCCCACGTTTAACCAATCAGAAATCCTACCTAATCGACCCAACCAATAAAACCCCGAATTTTCCGGAGTCTTCTGGAAAGATACGTCCCCCGGAACGCGCCTCTCTGGAAGTACCTGCAGTCCATCGCCATCCCATTGGCTGAGCTAGCGGTCCATCCCGAGGGGGCGGGACTAGGCGAGGCGGTTGGCGCGAGGGAGCCGCGGGGTGTGAGGGCGCCTCCTCAGCCTCACACCGGCGAACCGGGCGGAACCTTTGGAGGAAACGGCAGGAAAGAGGCGGCTAGTCCGCCGAAGCTAGAGGCGGAGGAGCGCGGCGCCTGGCAGGCAAGCTTAGGGGCAGCCTGGAGGAGACCGGTGGGCGCGGCACAGGTAGGGGCGGCTGGGTCGCTG